CCCCAAAACCCCAAAACCCCAAAACCCCATTTACTCATTAAACTATTGATGACGTTTAGTTCAATAATGGCTTTCCTTGGTACGACATGCAGTAATGCCCTTGGATGAATTCCTGCTTCTCCTCTTCGGTGAGTCCCTCATTGAAGAGGATCGTGTAGATCTCACTGAACACTTCGTGAGAGATGGCAAAGCCAAGCTTAGAGTAAATAATAGTCTTTGTCTTCTTTTCTTCGAAATAATTGTATTTTATATTTTGGAAATTTATTCCAACCTATTTTTGTGTTAGTTAACAGAACGGAGAATTTCGGTATATCAGGAGCGGCTCGGATTAGATTTTTCACAATGGGATAGGTAATTAAAAGTAATTTAACTTATAGAGTATTTTACTTCGCTCTATTGTATTAATAATTTGGCAATTTTAATATATTCTGCATCCTTATCTAATTTAATAGTGCAGATTTAGTGAGATCCATTGATATTTTTACTTTAAAAAATGTCAAAATTTTCGAACAACTCATTATTTTGATATATTTATTTCAGGAATCAAACACAACATATTAAAAGAATTTATGAAGAGAACCTTGTTAAAGTAAGGATATAAAGTACTATGAAAAGTTATAAAGTTCTTCTCCAGCCTTTGGAGACCTAACTGCTCTGAAAGAATTAAAAGTAAAAGAAACTTAGATGCTTACAACTTGACCGATAGAGTTGATGAGAGGTCCTCCACTACTTCCATCATAAAGATCTCAAGAATGGGCCACAAATTGTCACCTGTAATTGCCTTGGTTATCAGTGTGCATGACAAGTTTCCGTAAATATCCCTTACAAAATGCTGGAGCTTGAATTATAGACCACATACCATATCCTGTAGTGTAATATTCATCCTTCAAGTCTATTTTAGGTCTCCCTGTGTAAGGGATTAGTATCTTAAATGGTGGCAGTGGCTTTGAAGGTTGATTCCCTCTTTTAGTAGGCATCATTTTGATCAGAGCAAGGTCGTATAGACCTTTAGAGCATCAAAACACTTTAGCATTGAACTCTTCATTCACCACGATATTTTCTTGGTCATTTTCAACAACGTGTCTGTTAGTAAGGACATACCCTGCTGGATGGATTATCACACCTGTTCCATAATGACCTCCAGCTCTAATCATCACTATTGACTGAGAGATCACTGAGAAACGGTCATTAATAAACTCAGGAATGGTGATACTTCCGTAAGTGAGACTGTTAATTAGTCACCTTATCGACAAAATGAAGGAATAAGTATACATATTATTTATGATTCACAAATACAGGCAGCTTTATTCCTATCAAGGAGTCATCTTCTTCCTTCCAAATTGGATATCACTGAGAAGCACCTGTGATATTCATATTACACAGGTAGCTCTCACCGTGCCCGATTATTTGGGAGATATATCCTTTATCAACAGCCATGGAGAAATATTCAGGGGAGTAAACATTAAAGCCGGAGCCGTACATCAGCACTGAATCACCAATGGAGACTGGAAACTCAGGAAGATCGCTGGAGTCTATTTCCACACAATCAACTATGCAATCAAGTTCTGGCTTCTCAAGTTGGAATACCGCAACACCTAGTGATTTCTTCATAAACACCTCTATATCTGGTGCAAGTGATTTCTTAGAAGAATCTGTTGAGTAGCCGATGATCCCTGGTGAAAGCCCGTTCATGAACATATTAGAAACAATCCTTCTAATAAACGGAGCCTGGGGCTCATGAAAATGATGAAATTTTAAATTAATATAGTTGTAATCCACTGCAGATTTATCATCAACGATCAACTGAAAATCACAATGGTCGATCCACTTCTTCGGGTTTTTAGTAACACTTTCGTATTTTATAGCATGAGAAATTATTTCTGCAGCTGAGCTAATAATGAAGAGCTTTGAAAATCCTGATTTCAGCTTCAATCTATATCCAAGAGAGGTTAAAGATGACGTAAAGGAAGTAAATAACTTACTTGAATACAGTACAGCCTATAAGTATCACCCTATATCTCCTTTATCGTCAACACCATAGAGAGTAAGGACATCGCTCAAGGCTTCTCCTTCAAAGCTTGCGAATATAGAAAACTTGCTATACTTTTGGACCTTTGACATTTATAATTCAATAATTTTTAGATAGCTCGGGGTTTTGGGGTTTTGGGGTTTTGGGGTTTTGGGGTTTTGGGGTTTTGGGG